GTAATTGAAACATCTGTTCAGAATGTTTTTTTGTGAGGATTTCGTGTTCACCTTTAAATTGAAGGAAGTGTTCTTCAATTCTCTGAACCACCTCTTTTTCACTGTATAACCTTAATGCAAGGTAATCAGCTTTCTCAACAACCGTATAGAATGATTCTTTCAACAAAATTGCAATTTTAGCCAGCTTTTCATAACTGGATTTTATGATTTCTGTAGAGGTCACACTTTCTGCAACCCCCTTCAGATTGTCCAATAACTCTTTTGGGTTCATGCGCTCTGTCTGAGTCATATATGGATGTAGGGACGGTGCCAGTAGTGCGAACGCATTCTCCAGGCAGTGCGCCACTCCTTTTGGGTCAAAATCTTTTTCTAACACACCTGTCATGTTTTCACTGTGTAGCAATTTATCTGTTTGAACAGTTGCAAGCTTTAGATATTTTACAGGTAAATATTTGTATTCAAGTCAATGAGTTTTCACACTTATTTTAGCTTTGGGTTTACACAGAAGTACTGTTATAAGTCACTTATTCAAATGTGGGTACCTTTCTCAGGTTTTACCCCAATTGATGAATATTTAAGTAAATGCTCTCCCAGCAGTGTTACTTTTTTGTGCTTATTTTCCACAGATACTAGAGTACCAAGCTGTTTTTAGTGTATTTACTCTAAAACACTGAATTTTTTATAAACCTGCAAATTTTCTTTTAGTCTCACAGCAATATTAGTTTAAAACGTTTTTTTTTTTTTTTTAAACCGTTCTGTTCCAGAAATTTGCTATTTTAAAAAGTTACTCATCAACCCAGGTGGGTGAAAAGAGAAAAGAAATTGATGATGAGGAATAATCAGTCTTTCTTCAGAAAAACTGTACTCCTTTCTCCTGCCAATAAGTGGAGTTGTTAAAGTATGTAAGGCCCCCAAATGATGTCATCATTTGTTGGTTTTGGAGAGGTGTCTTCTTCTTCGTCGCTTGCCATTTTTCTTCTATTTAAAGTTTAAACAGGAGAATTTTAATGTTTTAGGTTTTTCAAAATAAATAAAATCAGCAAAGTCTCTTTGTCTGATATATTTACTTTTATTTAGTGATTTATTAATTAAACGTGCACTATCCTTTTAGCAAATGAGTAAACTTTTTCCAACTTTGTGAAAATCTGTAACTGTTTCTATTTTTAAAAAGTTAATGTTTATTTTTGTACCTTATTTTTAAAGGATTTAACAGTGAAATAAACTTTTTGGTGAATGCTCGTTTGCATAAGTACCTTATAACTTTTAAAATGCAAGATAACAGTAATTTTCAGCTTTAAGGAACGTTTATTGACTCGAAAATGCTTTTAGAAAGATTAAAACGTTTTTAATTTCACTATTTAGACCTAATAAGCGAGTGAAACCTGTCTTCTCAAGGTTCGCCAGAAGATGTCAGCCTTACTTTACTAATTTTAACTCCGACAATGTTTGTGTTATCCACTAGGGGAGCTATAACTTCCTGTGGCGTTCGGTTGACATCCTGTTGTTAGCCGCTTAGCTTGAAGTTAGCTTCGGCTAAACTCGGTCAAAATCAACATTTCTGAACGGATTTTTTACACAAAAGTGGCACAATTTCAACAAACACGACTTTTTAGCCTGAACATGAGTTTTTGGAACAATATTTGTAGCTTCCTTTAGTGATTTTAAGCGTAGTTAAAGCTCCGGTCGTTAGCTTGTTAGCTTAAAATTAGCATCGCTAGCTTTGTTTAAAAACATCGTTTTTTGACGAATTTTAAACTGTAACGTGGCAGGATTTCAGCAAACAGGCTTCGAAGCATCTAACCAGTGTGTCAAAACCACTTTAAAAGCGTTTTTTAGCTTTAAAAAAGCAGATTTTATTTCCCTATGAAAATGAATTTCATATCCGGGTCACGTGACTGAAATCACCAATGGCACGCAGCGTAGGGTGAGAGGAAGTGACGTAGCCACGTCAGTCAAACCTTCAACCAATGAAAGCGCTCCACAACAGCGAATTCAACCAATCAGGAAGCGTTTTCTCTACCTAGCAAGTTAGATTAGCTTAAAATAGTTCGTCACTTTTTCGTCTTTTAAACCATCAAAATGCACTTTTTCTGTTAAAAAATGTAACGAAACAACTTCTAACTGTGTTCTGAGATGGCACTCAGCTTTTAAAACGTTTATCCATCTATTCAAAATACTCGTTCCAACTGAGCAGAACCGAACCACAGCCGGGTCTTAGCAGAACCTCGTACCTTAAACAGAATAACGTATTCCACAGCTCATCAGCCTTTAGTTACACGTAACAGACGTACAATTTCAGCTTACACAAGACTTATGACACAATTTCAGCTCTTAAAACATTGCCAGCGTAACACAGCGTAAAGTTGTAGAGCCGAGCTCCAAGCGCGCAGCTCCAATTTGCGCTGCGTAAAGACGCACGGTTTCAGCACAGCTGTTTAACCGTTACTATTTCAACATGCCAACATTTAAATAATCAATCTTACACGTATTAACAGTCATTCATGAACACGTTTACGGGCCACCAGTGTGGTGATACACGTGAGGTACGTGTCACTTGTTGTATGACAAATATATGAATTATATATGCATACAATATTCACGAGTTCTTCATTTTTCTGACTGTAAATGCCGTGCATTGAATTTAACAGAAATGTGAACGAGAGACGTTATTTATCTTTGACCCATCAAATGAATGGAATCATTTATTTTCAAAATCAAAGTTTAACATCAAACATTTACATTAATTTGGCAAAATATGAAAATAATAACAGACAGTTTCACAGAAAATGAACTTCAAATCACTCGGCGGTGATTTGAGGACTTTGCTTCAGACATTTCTAAAAATATCTGTACTGTTTTATGAGAGAGAGGTGAGTTTAAGAGTAAATTGAGATTTATCTTACAGAGGAATATGTGAGGGAGATTTAATCTGTTTAACCAGAAGTTGCACGCTCCGTCCGATCTCAGCTTCTCACGGTACACTTGGTCAAAATAGAACCATCTACCTGTTGACGATGAATCAGCGTTGGATGTAGTTCCTTTCTGACTCGTTTCAGCGTCTCCGTCGAGAGCTACCAAACCTTCAGAAAGTCGTGCGTTGATTAGCTCAAAACAGAATTATAATCCCCAAAAAACCTCTGGATTCTTCATTGCTCTGAAACTTTCAGAACCGGCTGCACTCTCAATCTGCTCATTCTGTTGGACTATCGGACCTGTTGTCAGCTCTCAATCCAACATCTCTCAGAACTCTCAATCTAACTTGAACTGGGGAGTTGCCACATTTTATTTGGGTCGACTTCCTGTTCAATTTAGAGCTTTCTGATTCGTGGAAGGACCAGAAAGAGGAGTGGTTTTTGACGTAAGGTGTTTATCAACAGTCGAGGTCAGAGAATGAAACTTGTTTAACATACAGAAAAGATTATTGCAGAAGCAGCAGACTTTTTGGAGTCTACTCTTAGTAATCTTCTGAAAAAGTTTAAACATGACATTTCTTCTTCAGTAAACATTTTAGTTGACCGAAGACCAACCTTTCACATACTTACGACAGCTTGCTCATTTCAGACAGAAAAATCAAGAAAGGCATATTCAGGTGATTTCTGCTTTGAATGAGGAACAAAAATCATTACTTACTGTTTATGTAAAATAAAAATTAGTAGTTCTTTTCAACCTGTAAAGCATTGAGTGAACTAACACAATTTGATTATCAAAACATTTGTAAGACAGTAATGATTATAAAGAATTGTCTTTTCTGCTTGATTAATTCAAGAAAGAAAGTCATCAGATGGTTCAGACTTATTCAGATCAATGAAAATAACAGTCTCTGTCCATCTGGTAGATTTGAGGTTATCTGGTTCACTACAGAAGCAACTATAGTATACCCAAAATACCCTTAAAGTTCTATTTCGTTAGACTTCGCCCTTTAAGGCTAGTGGGTTTATCCCTTCGCGCGCAGCGCAGCACTGAAAACTTTAGTCCACACCCAACTGCTGTGTGGGCCTCACCCCCGGTCCGTATAAATTACGGTGAGACCGGGTAATCGGCTCCCATTTTTTCTTCAGCAAGCAACCAAACCCAAGCAACTTTACAAGAACACGATATCCAGCACCAGCACCATCTGCCTGTGCCCGTCCTGCAAGATCGGCTACATTTTGAGTTTCGACCGGCACAACATCTGTGAAGGATGCCTGAGTCCCCGCCACGCAGACCTTGCCTTCTCTTGCCGTCTCTGTGACCTCCTCCCTCCTGAGGAGAAGCAGAGACGAGCAGCCTTGTTCAAGGCTAACATCGAGGAGTGCCTCTCCGTGACGGGGGACTGTTCACTGGACGACGCCATCGCCTTTTTTGACGCAGAGCCATGGAGCGAATCGGATGATTCCTCCAGAAAAGGTGACATCAGCAGCAGCCCCGCTGCTCATTCCCTCCTGGAGAGCGTAGTGTTGGAATGGGGGGGGGCAGAGCAGATGGTCAACCCCCCTCGGGCCTTTCCGCATTTTCAAACACACCGCTCGCAGCCGTCGGTGCCCTCCTCTCGGAGCTGCCCAGCATAATCCAGGAGGCAGCTGACACAAAGGGACTTTCTGTCCCTCTCCTCCCCCTGCCCAGATCGGATGATCTAGTGGGAAGGTTTGGCTTCACCCCGGCTTGCCGCCCTGACTCCATCTGGCCTCGTTTCCTAGTAGTGACATCCTACTGAAACGAGGCTGCAGCCAGACCTGGTAAGCTGAAGGCGCCCGTCTCCACCTTCGCCCCCATCACCAGAGTGGAGGGGTTTACTGAGCGGAATGTTCCCTCGGTACCCCCCCTGGAGCCAAGCCTGGTGGAAGCACTCGGAGCAAAAGTGTCCAGGTTGGACCAATGTCCTGTCCCTCCAGGGAGACACGACCAGATGGTGACGTCGCTCTCCAATCGAGCCCACCAGTGTGCTTTCCAGGCGGTCGCAGCGAACAACAATGACGCCCTGTTGGGACTACAGCATTTCCAAAAGGCTGGAGGACACAGACCTGCCCGAAGAGATGAGGAGCTCGCTCTGCAAAGCGTCTGACGTCATCCTGAACCAGTGCGCCTCCTCTGTGGTCTGCCTGTCTCGCATCACCGCCTGGATGACGATGATCCAGAGGTCCACCTGGCTCCGACTCTCCCCATCCATGCCGGAGAAGCTGCAGAAGGACCTGCTGGAGGGCCCCATCACGACGGACGTGCTGTTCGGGTCCAATTTCAAGGCCATGCTTGAAAAGTCAAATAAGTTGGAGGAGGTGTTGGAAACTGTGCGCCACCTGATGAAGCCGCCGCACTCCTTCCGCCCCCCCCGCCCCCCCCCCCCGTGCCCACTGGAGGGATCGCCGTGGCCAGAGGCAGCAGCAGAGACGCACCACAGCTGCAGCAGAGACCTCCCGCCACGCTCCGCCGCCAGCCCCTCCCACCAGAGAACAGTCCTTCTCATCACGTCAACCAGCGAATCAGCGCTTCCCCAGAGACTGCCAACAGGCGCCGCCCTGGAACAACCAGTCGCAGGCTGGTGCATGGAGAAAGGTGTAGAGGCCATCTCATGTCCACTAGGTGGTGTGCTGTCCTTTCTGCAGCAGCTGATGGACAGAAATTTAGCTTTCAGCACACTTATGCTGCAGCTATTTCTTCCTGTCACAAAGGCTTCGGTGACAGAACAGTTTTTAATCACCCGCTGATGAAGCGTTTCCTAAAAGGTGTACGGAGACACAGACAAAAGCTATAGCCCAATAGCTCCACAGTGGGATCTAACGATGGTTCTGCAAGCTCTGATCAAAGCTCCTTTCGAGCCTTTAGATCAGGTGTCACTTCAATTCCTGTCACTTAAAACAGCCCTGCTGTTGGCTTTGACATCAACAAAGAGAGTGAGCGATTTGGCTGCGCTCTCTGCTGCCCTGTCATGCCTCAGGATTCAAGCTGATAGCAGCTCAGCTGCGCTGAGACCTAACCCAGCTTTCATACCAAAAGACATCACAAGTTCATTTAAATTGAGAATGATAACATTGGAGGGGTTTTATCCCCCCACCCCCTCACAAATCAGAGGAGAAAGCATCATCTCATCTCCTCTGTCCTGTGCGTGCACTGGCATGTTACATAGCACGCACTGCTCCTCTGCGGCAGACTCAGCGTCTGTTTGTGCATTATAGGGACGTCTCTGCAGGTCGCCCGTTATCCACTCAGCGCCTTTCACACTGGCTGTGTGAGGCAATTTCTGAGTCTTATAGGGCATCAGGATTGGAGCCTTCAGAGAATCTCAGAGCTCATTCCACCAGAGGAATTGCATCTTCTACAGCTTTGCATGGAGGAATGACAGTGGAGGACATTTGTACAGCGGCCGCTTGGACATAGCCTTGTTCATTTATTCGCTTCTATCTGCGTGATGTTTCTGTTTTCTCCATGACCCTGTTCTTAGTGTTCTAACAGAATGAATCTTACTGTTTTCATGGAATTTCGTTTTAAACTTACATCTGCCTGCATGCAACTACAGTGCGAGATATTTATTATCAGTCACAAGTTCATGACTGCTGTTTTTATTGTTACTAATCAGTTCATTACTACTGTTACCAATCAGTTCATTTGATTACTAATCTGTTCATTTGTTATTAATCAGTTCATATTGAAGAGCTGTTGACCTGCTCTGCTCACTGTTACACGGTTACAATTTGTAACCTCTTTTCTTTTACATTCTCAGTAGCAGGACTGCTTTCAGTCTTCCCTTTTTTCCCGTTGGAAACCTTTTCTCTCCGAGGCGCTCCTGTGCATGGAATGCGTAATTATGCAGCGTGCTCCTGTGCATGGTACGTGTAATTACTCACACAGAAGGCTGAGTGATGAAATGTTTTTTTGGTGCAAGCGGGCGCTTCATATTGTGTCTGAATGGACCCAGTGAGGCATAGACTACATCCTGCTTCACCTTTAACCCACTAGCAACAGCCTTAAAGGGCGAAGCCTATACGAAATAGAACATTGGTTACGTACTGTAACCCGAGATTCTATGAGTATAGGTGCAGCCCTTTAAGCTCTGGGCCTCACTGGTTCCTAAAGGCTGAAGAAAAAAGCTATTTGGGAGCCGATTACCAAGTCTCACCATAATATATATGGACCGGGGGTGAGGCCCACATAGCAGGTGGGAGTAGACTAAAGTTTTCAGTGCTGCGTTGCGCACGAAGGGATAAACCCACTAGCGATAGCCTTAAAGGGCTGCGCCTATACTCATAGACTCTGGGGTTACAGTACATAAGCAACGTTATCTATGTTCCATAAACAGATGTTAAGCTGGTCACTTATGTACTGTACAAATACAATTTTTCTCCTCATAAATATATCTGGAATAGTGAAGACATTAAATATAAAAATAAGACAATTTTTTATAGGAAATGGTTTGATAAAGGAATATTACTCGTAAGCCAATTGTTAAATCCAAACGGTCACTTCTTATCTTATTCTGAATCTATGTCACATTTTCAATTTCCTGTTACACCTAAATAAGATGCCGTGATGTTTGACGCAATCCCCAGTGAGGATTTAAAACTTCTATCATCTACACCTCCAGGTCCAAATCATTTGATGCCATGTTTTGATCCAGGTTCCATTTATACTGACTATGACTGTCCTTTGATAAGTAAGAAAACAACTAACAAAACATTAAGAAATATTATTTTAAGAGACATTGTCTTTTCACCAACTTGTACATTTTATTGGTCCAACATCTTTGGAAATATAAATTGGAAGTGGACTTGGTTACTCCCCAAAAAAATACCTAATAAATAATAAAGTAAAATAAATTTCCTACAAAATTATTCACAATTGTTATCCACTTAAAGCATTTTTGATAAACATTTATAAAGGAGACTTGGACCCTATGTGCACGTTCTGTAAAAATCATGAAGAAGAACTTGTTCATCTGTTTTGGGATTGTTGTTACACCAAAATATTCTGGAGGGACATGTCAATTTTTTTTTCATTGAAATAATATGAATATTTCTTTAACAGATAAACATGTTTTATTTGGGATGGGGAAATGTGACATTGTTAAAACAGAATTGCTATATGTTGTTAACTTTTTTATTATTTATGGTAAATATCATATTCACACCTCCAAATATTTACAACAAAAGCCTAACTTCCAGATTTTATTATCTTCTATTAATATTTATATAGAATCCTTAAAACTAAGCTCAAATGCTAAAGTCATTCAAATTATAACTGCCCTAGAAGAACTGCAACCCTCGAGCACCGATTTGATTTTAACATTGCAGGAGAGATCATATCTCTCCAGTTTTAGCTTCTCTCCACTGGCTCCCTGTCAAATTCAGAATAGAATTCAAAATCTTACTTCTAACCTACAAAGCTCTCAACTACCTGGCTCCATCTTATATTACAGATCTTATTGTTCCATATTTTCCCAACAGAGCACTTCGCTCTCAGACTGCAGGTTTACTTGTGGTTCCTAGAATTTACAAAAACAGAATGGGAGGCAGATCATTCAGTTATCAGGCTCCTCTCTTGTGGAATCAACTTCCAATCTCTTTCCGTGAGGCTGACACATTGTCCAGTTTTAAAACTAGGCTTAAGACTTTCCTTTTTGCTAAATCCTATAGTTAGGGTCGGCTTGGGTTTCCTGAGCTGTCCCTTAGTTATGCTGCTATAGGCTTAGACTGCTGGAGGACAAACTGACCACAATTTTCACTCTGCTACTGTCTTTACTTACTCTGCTCAACATTTGTAATTATTTTTTCTATCCTTAACATGTGTTTTTTTTTTTTTTTTTGTCTTTTAGGTACACCTGGACCTATACCTGGACCTACCATTCTATGTTCGTCTGTCTCTCCTTCCTGTCCTCTCAACCAGCCGGTCAAAGCAGATGGCCGCTTGTCCTGAGCCTGGTTCTGCTGGAGGTTTCTTCCTTTTAAAGGGGAGTTTTTCCACTGTTGCCACTTTGCTTGCTCAGGATGGGAGACTGCAACGAAGCCAAGATTCATCTTGTCTGCTGGATTCCTTAGATAGAGAACTTTACTAATTGGCTTTTATGTATGTGAATGTTTCTGTAAAGTGCCCTGAGACAACTTTGTTGTGATTTGGCGCTATATAAATAAACTGAATTGAATTGAACTGAACATTGTAAACTACTTGTTTATGTTTTGTAATACCCTTGAATGTTGTATTTATGTTTTTAATTAGTTCTCTATTGTTCTCTTTTGTTCATGTATGGTCAATGTTGGCAATAAAAAAATCAGCTGAAAAGATCTACCCTTTGTTAGAAAACCTTTGTAAAACAAAATATAAACTGTTAAAGCCTTTTTTGTAAACACCTAAAGGAATGCATATTACCTGCTGCCAGAGTTTTAGACTAAAATCATCTTATAGTTACTGTACTGTAAAGCCATTTTGGACAAATCTTGAAAATAATATAAGCTAATGCATGTAGCATTGCAATGTCTCATGTGATTGGTTAACACTGCCAGTGTGTTAGGAAAAACCTTCAGCTACTATCATCTGCATATTTTAACTGTGGTAGAGCTATTTTTAAGTTGATTAGCTTCCTCAGCAGCCATCTTGAATGGGGTTAATTCCAAAAGTTAATCAGTTGAAGCTGTACAATTAGTGATTACCTTTAGATAACTTCAAAAACAAACCTGTACACTGGTTCATGAGAAATTTTGCTAACACTACAAATAAACACACTCACTCACATTATCACCAGCTTTTCATGCAGAACATGAGAACAGTAATGAGGTTCTGAAGAGTATCCTGCTCACCATGCTGCTGTTGAGGTTCTTCTCCACCTTGCAGAAGGTGTGCGGGGGCGTCTCCCCTTTGCTCGGGATGATGATGCAAATATCAGTGACAGCCAGTGAGGCGTGAGGCTGACTCTCAGGTGCTCGCCGGTATGTGATGTAAACACGCTGAGAGGAATTGCCACTGATGTTAGCTGGACGTCCAGATGGAGTGGTCTGGATAAGGTGGCAGCCCTGCTTTAGTCGCTCCTTCCATTCATATAGCACACTGCAGAGGAGAGAGGTACAACATGGCTCCTAGTTACAAGGAACAACACAATCATGCGTAATTATTAATTAAAAGGACAAATATATATATTGAGTCAATCAATAAAATATTTAGCTATAAGGTGAAAACCAATGATTATATCGAAAATGGGCATTCTGTTCCAGTTGTATAGACTCTTATATAACTTGTATGAAAAATAACAAAACAGGAAAGTTTGTCAGACATCAAAAATACATTTTTCACCAAAAAGATGAATCCCAGCTATTAGCTGACCACTTGGCATACAAACTGAAAGATGATTCAACTCTCAGGTCCCGTGTCAGGTTTTTGATGGACTTTTCTTGTTTCTTAAAGGCATAACTTTTACATACTGTTCATATGATGGACAGTTTTTTTAGACTTGACAATTCTACTTTATTCTCCACTTGCACACTTTTCTGAAAAAAAAAAAAAATAAGGACATACTGTACACCAGTGGTGGGCATGGTTCCAACAGTTCACTAAAGGCAGAATTAACTTTCCTTTTAGCAGATTGCCAACTTTGAAAACCCTTAGCATATTTAGCTTCTGCTAACTTTAAATCTGGTAAATTCAAGCCCGCTAATTTTTTTAAGACAATTCTCCACACGAAAGGCGTACAGGAGAATGGTGATCTACACAGATTGATGCAATGCTGTTATGTAGTGCTAAGTAAAGCTAAACACCACCTGGTAATGTCATCTCCCTCGCAATGTTTTTCCCCCTCGTATGTCGTGCCATTAGACAAGAATGCAGGAGAAACGAACGTAAGTGGAGAAAGGACAAATTCCAAGTCTCTTTTGATATACTGAGAGAGAGTTGGCGTCGATATCAACGAGCTGTGAAAACAGCCAGAGTAGAATATTTCTCTGGCATTATTGCTGCTAACTCTCACAACCACCGTGTTCTTTATAATACAATCAACACTGTCCTCAATGCACATGAACCGGTCCCTCTTGAAGCATCCAGAGAACTTTGTGATAAGTTTCTTCATTTCTTCTTGGACAAGGTTATTAACACTAGGGCTTGTATCTCTTTTCCATCCCATGACCCTTCCATCCCGGTCCCGTCCTGCTGTTTTTGATCATTTGGAGCCTATTTCCCTCTCCTATCTAGAGAAACTTGTCAACAGTATGAAATCTTCGGGTTCTCCCCTTGATGTTGTTCCTCCATATTTTCTTAAGGAGGTATTTTCTACTGATGGCTCCTTTATCCTAAATGTGATCAACAGCAGTTTCATGTCTAGTGTGGTACCAAGCAATTTTAGACATGCTGTGGTGCAGTTATTGTTGAAAAAACCTGGCCTTGATCCATCATCTTTGTCAAACTTTAGGCCAATCTCAAAGTTACCCTTTATATCCAAAATTTTGGAAAAAATTGTTTACACGCAGCTGAAGGCATTTTTGGATGAATTTAAAATTTTGGAGGTCTTCCAGTCTGGTTTTAAAATAATAATAATAATAATAATAATAATAATAATAATAATAATAATAATGTCATCACAATGTCAGCACTGTATGTTTCCATACAATGGCGAAATTAGTCTCTGCATTTAACCCATCCACCACCAGGTGGTGCAGTGGGCAGCTATTGAATGCGCCCGGGGGGCATTTTGGGGATGAGGCGTGCTGCCCAGGGACGCCACGTGATGTGCAGTGACTGGGGATCGAACCTGGGACTTTTGGGTCCCAAGCCGGCTGCCCTGCCTCTACTCCATCTCGGCCCCCTAAAATGTACCACAGCACTGAATCTGCTCTTTTAAGGGTTTTTAATGACATATTTTTAGCACTGGATTCTGGAAACTGTGTTTTACTTGTGCTTTTAGATTTAACAGCTGCTTTTGACACAGTTGACCATGACATTCTCATCTCCAGACTGGAGCAGTGGGTGGGCATCACTGGCTCAGCTCTGCAGTGGTTTAGGTCCTACCTTTCTGATAGAAGTTTCAGTGTGATGATGGATAATTTTACCTCTGCTTCTGCTGCCCTCCCCTGGGGGGTACCCCAGGGCTCTATTCTTGGTCCTCTCCTGTTTTCTCTTTACCTTCTGCCACTGGGTTCTATTTTCAGAAAGCATGGTGTGCAGTTTCATTTATATGCAGATGACTGTCAAGTCTATTTCCCTTTGAAACAAAATGGCTCCCCTCAGTCTCTTCTGGACTGTCTTGATGACATTAGAGGATGGATGGCATTTAATTTCCTCCATTTTAATGAAAAGAAGACTGAGGTTATGGTCTTTAAATCCTCTGGCCCTAGCAGTTTCCCCACCATAGATTTTTCTTCTTTGGCCCCATATGAAAAATCCATTTTGACAAATTTAGGAGTGAAAATGGACCCCTGCCTGAAACTTGACTGCCATGTCAACAATGTGTTTAAGTCCTCTTTTTTTCAGCTGAGGCGCCTGTCAAAAATCAAGCCCCTCCTTTCTAGAAACTATTTAGAGACAGTAATCCACACTTTTATTACCTCACGCCTGGATTATTGTAACTCTCTGTTGATAGGAGTTAGCCAAGCCTCGCTCTCACGGTTACAACTGGTACAAAATGCTGCTGCACGATTTTTGACTGGTACAGGCAGGCGTGAGCACAGCACTGCAGTTCTGATGTCCCTTCACTGGCTTCCTATCCAGTTTTGAATTCATTTTAAAGTTCTATTGTTTGTTTTTAAGTCTTTGGATGGTCTTAGCCCCTCTTATTTGTCTGAACTGCTTCACTTTTACATACCATCACGTGCTCTTAGATCCTCTGACGAGATGATTTTAGCAGTCCCGAAAACCTTTTATAAATCCAGAGGAGACAGAGTCTTTTCAGCTATGGCTCCTAAACTGTGGAATGAGCTGCCACTGGAGGTCAGGCAGGCCCCGTCACTTTCTGTTTTTAAAACTCGTTTAAAAACATCCAAAAAAGTTAAATCTGGTCCTCTGGACATTCAAAAAAAAAAAAAAAAAAAAAACAAAGCAAAAAAATGTAGAACCGTTTCGTCTCTCATCCAAGAGACTTCCTCAGTCTGAGGTGCTGTATTCAGCTCAGTCTTATAAATAGCACCTTCTCAGAGTGGATCGACCAGTTTGCTGCTGACAACCAAAACCAGCTGATCACATGCTCAAGAAGGACCATCAGCCTAACAATGGATCATTAGCACACTGATGGCTGTTTACTATTCACAGAGGGTTGAGTGATACTAGCAATCACAGTATTGTAAGAGGGGGACAGTTGAACCCGGAGGCCTCCACCCCTGTTTAATGATGGACGATTTCTTTTTCACAAAGATGGCCTCCTTCACTCCTCTCTCAAACCATCGTTCCTCTCTGTCCAGGATGTGAACATCTTCATCCTTGAAAGAGTGACCGCTGGCCTGGAGATGAGTGTAGACCGCAGAGTCCTGGCCTGATGATGTTGATCTTATGTGCAGGGCCATCATTTTGGCCAGTGGCTGTTTAGTTTCCCCGATGTAAGACTGATCACAGCCCTCCTGACACTGAACAGCATACACATGACCCATGGTTTGTTTTTAATTTTGTACAGCACTTCGGACAGCTGCTTGTTGTATTTTAAGTGCTTTAGAAATAAATTGGTATGGTATGGTATGGTATGGTATCTACCACAAACAGTCTCTGACTCATGGTGTCAGTTTACAGCCAATAACAGAGACTTTAACATAAATGCCAAACCAAATCAGAACAGAAAAATAACATTAAAAAAAAAAATTCACGTTCAAAAACATTGTAAACAGTCAGAAATATTTCACATATAATTTCTACCCAGCATGCTTTGAAACGCTGACACTGTCTCTGGGACGTGACTTTCTCACACTAGAGTTCACACATATTTACTTTAATACAAACAGATTTATTACTGAGAGAATACTGATGATGACGCACAGCAACTTTGTAGTTAGTTTATAAAAGTAGTTAACCACAAAGAGGATCACCAAAGTGAGTTAATTCATTATAGTAAATGACACAAGGGCAACGTCCGACACAAATTGAATGCATCACTCTGCTTCAGCACAGCAGAGTTCTGCTCCGCCTATTTGGTTCCAATGAACTGGATTAGGGGGCCGAGATGGGGTAAAGGCAGGGCAGTCGACTTGGCACCCGAAAAGCCTAGGCTCAATCCCCAGTCATTGCAGATCTCATGGTGTCTCTGAGCAGCACACCTTATCCCCAAATGCTCCCCGAGCACCTTCAATAGCTGCCCACTTCGAGCTCATGCTCGAAGGCTTTGGAGCAAATAACATCTACCCCGAGAGTTCACAGTGACTTTCATCACTGTCGTCTACATTCCTCCGGACGCTAATGCTAATGAATCACTGCAGGAGCTTCATGATATCATCAGCTCGCTGCAGAACAAACACCCCAAGGCTCTTTACGTGGTAGCCGGAGACTTTAACCACGTGAATATAAAGGACTGTCTCCCAAGCTTTAATCAGCATGTGACAATTCCGACACGTGGAGACCACACGCTGGACCGTGTTTACACGAACGTAAAAGATGCATACAAAGCCGAACCCCGCCCCCACCTAGGACTGAGACCACATCTCAATCTTCCTGGCTCCTGTTTACATGCCCCCGCTGAGACGCTCCAGACCGGTACAAAAGAAAGTTAAATGCTGGATCCAGGACAGTGGCCCCATACTGAGAGATTGTTTTGACCGAACAGACTGGCAGGTTTTCAGAGAAGCTGCTGAAAATGGAGGTTCGCTTGATCTTGACCAATACACATCCTCAGTTCTGGGTTACATTAGTACATGTACTGACACCGTCTCCACTATCAGAAATGTTAAAAGCTACCCAAACAGAAAACCTTGGCTTAATGCAGAGGTGCGTACCCTGCTGGAAGACAGGAACACTGCCTTCAGGTCTGGAAACTCAGAGGAGCTGAGTAGGACAAGAAAAGAGCTGGTTGCTGGTATTAAGAGGGCCAAGGGCACAAATGCAAAGAGGATCGAGGGTCAATTCATCTCACAAGACCCTCGGAGCAT